GTGATTACTTGTCATAGATCTTAAGATCTGCCTTTCTGTGGCTCAAGGTATAAGCTCGGTACACCATCAGATCATCCCTGGCATAATCACAAAGAGCAGTCCAGCCCTTGTCATTTTGGTGGGGACAAAGTTATGCATGAGGATAGATTAGAATCCTAGTCCTAGGGTGTCTCGCAAAGCACCACTCACGGGAAGAGGGTGTATCCCTTGATATGCTTGAGGCCCTGTAAAGCACTCACTTATCTACAGCCTTCACCTTTGCTTCTATATGGCTTGTTTGATTAACTTAAAGTAAATCTGCTGTTTATGTTTTTCTGCAGTCTGTCCTGGCAGCTCTAGCACTTGGAAACTTAAAGGGAATGCTGATGCAGTTTTCTGAAATAGGCAGATTGTGGAAGAAGGATAAATATGATTGTGTAAGTAGACGAAATAGATTTGAAAGAGAGGTAACTCATGAAGCATTTTAATACTGATGTAAAATCATATTTGGATCCTAAGTGAAATTTTGTTTCTTTCTGTATCTGTTCACAATAATCTTACTTGTTTATTGGCATACTCTGACGATGATTCTCTGGGATTTCGACTTTAAAATACGGGCTATTGCAAGTAGAACGTGCTCCATGAAAACACTAGTGTTGAATTTCCTTTAGATGTGTTCTAAAAGTATGTGCAGCCTCCCAGAAGCCTCAGAAACTCTGAATGTCAGGGTATGCGTGGCTTCTGTTCTTCTTTACATAATGTATTTGTGGCCAGAGAATCTGTGAAGAGCTTAAATTCTGAACATTTCTCTTGGAAATACGCTCTGTTTTGGAAAGACTTCCACTTGCTGTCAACCTACTTTGCTCTAAGAAGCAGAGTTCATCATGTTATCAGGGTCAAAGTCTGTGATGTAAAAATGCTTGTTAACATACTCTGGGGGACTCTAAGGGCATAAACTAGCAAACCACACTTGGTTTATGTTAGTAAACCATAGATTATTGTGAAGATAGATCGTTGTGAAGGCTTTTAATAAGTTTTTGACATGGGCAGCGCCTGTGGCTCAGTGAGTAGGGCGC